CCTTCTCCATCAGGCATCAGTCGTCGTGATACCTCAGTATTAGGCCTGGTATCCACAAGTATCAGGCCTGGTACAAGATTACTTAGTGTCAAGCGCTCTTCGTCGATGTCGACGCTATCCTCCTCTCATCAGTGTTATGTGCAGGTACGGACTGATACCTAGGTATCAAGCTTGGTACCAAGTACTAGGGGTATGGTACCTCAAGGGTATCATGCCTGGTACCTAAGTACCATCCAGTATCCATGGGTACCATGTGCATGGTATTAGGTACCAGATACCTATAATTATCAGGTACCACATGGTACCTGATACCTATTGTACCTGATACCTCGAGGGTATCATGCATGGTACCTAGGTACCATCCATGGGTATCTGTTAACAGTGAAATTTGGTAAGCCCAGAGTAGTCATCGGCTTAGAGTCAGCATCGGCTTCGAAGTCCTGAGATTAGCCGATGAGAGTTGTCAAGTCGTCAGTTGTCGGATTCTTGCTATATTCGGTTAAGGAAATTGATCTACTAAAGGAAGCTTATCCAAAAGAGACCGAGTTCAAAGAGAATGCGGCATGGCAAGTTATCTATTAATTAGGAATAGTTTGTTAGTTTCCTTTTATCTTTAGGAAAGTGTGTTTAGTGTCCTATAAGGACTTTATCTTTTCCTTTTATCTTTAGGAAAGTTTCTTTCTTGTCCGACAAGGACTTGTATCAACCCATGGGTATAAATATGTACACCTGGGGTCTATGTAATCTATCTTCACGATCAATACAATTCGGCGCATCGCCACCCTTTTTACTTCTACTTTTGTTTTACGTTCCGGCGGAACTTGGCACCCGGCGCGGGGCTACATCGTCTTCGATCTCCGGCGAAGGGATAAGTCTAATGTTCCGCCGGTCCAGGCAATTGTATCGTCTACGTCGGCGTCGTTCAAGGCTGCATCAGTACATTCGACCTCTTGGATTGCTCTGGTTTGGATGATATATTTGCCTACCTATTTATCATATGTCTCTGTTAATCTAGTCTTAGCATATCAATTTAGCTCTATCGGCTGCTTCTCGTTTTAGGGTTTCTGCCGGTATCGGCTAAATCGCGTTGCTAGATTAGATTAGCTTAGACATCTACCACCCTGAAAACTCGGTCAACAGCTTGATTGTCTAGATATTATGTTTCTTTTCATACTTAGTGTTACATCAGTTAAGTTTGATCTACTAAGTCGTGCTTAGAACCATAATCTCTAGCCTGCTTTTGATTGCCACTAAGGGTTTCATCGGGGTTTCAGCCGGTGAGTTATCTGGACGTTGCATCGGCTCATAAGGATTGCATATACATATAAGTTGGATTTAGCCGATGACAACAAAGGTTTCACTGTTTAATCTAATCTTGTGGATTTCATGACATCGGACCTCCAGTTGATGTGTGCTTTAACCTTCGGATCGATGCTTATTTATCATATCATTATCTGCCGATTGGTTTATACTGGACTATATTATTGTTATATTTTATTATCAACAGCCGATTGCCTTTATATCATCATCTACATTGGACATATAGCCGATTGCTTACACCCTATCGCTATCGGCTAGTATCGGCATCGGCTATTATCGGCTATCGGCTGGAACTATTCCATCGGCTTGTCAGCCGATTGACTGTTTTGATCTATTATTTGCATATCTTGTCAGTTGCAGGATCAAACTGACTGGCACGCTCGCATCTAATCAAGATTTGGACCTGCACAGGAGCTAAGCAAATCTCTCAGCCGATGTGTTCGATTTTCTCGTCAACAGTACCATATGCATGGTATCAGGTACCAGATGCCTAGTACCTAGGTACCATCCATGGGTACCATGTGCATGGTATCAGGTACTAGATACCTATAGTTATCAAGTACCACCTGGCACCTGATACCTATTGTACCTGGTACCACGGTCAAAGGTGGGGGAAGGGGGAGCACGCCGTCGCCGCCTGGCTGACCGGTGGCCACACGTTCGTTGCCTCCTCTTCTGTTCTCCCTTCCTCAGTTCCTCTCCTCAACGTTTCTCTTCTCCTTCTGTTGTTGTTGCTGTCGGTGGGGGCAAAGAGGAGGATTTAGCGGGGGAGTTGTCTGCTGCTCCCGCTGCTTAGGGGCGACGACGCCGACGAGGAGGTGTGTGCTTCTCCAGGTGCAAAGGCAACACGACGCCGGCAAGGGAAGCGCGCGATATCAGGAAGAGCCAGCTAGGTATCGTGCCTCTTCACGTGGACAACAGGGACACGGGACGCCATTTTTTTATTTTGTCGTGTGTTTTAATTATCCCGTGACATCACTTTTCCACGGTATCTTGTGGGCTAGCTGCCCTCTTATGCTTTACTCCTTCCGTTTCAAATTCTAGGTGGAGTAGTAGTACTTAGTCCAAAGAAACGAACAGAACTGTTTGACCACTGGGCACTTCTCAGCTCGACGTGATGGGACTAGTTCATCAAGGACTCGAACTCGTTATATCCACAGTTAAATCCGCGGGACTTGCACGGAATTGACTGTGCCTTCGGGTCAATAATCTTGATCGCCTACAGTGTAATCCGACAATATCTATCCTATACTATTGTTCAGGTTGGAAAAGCAGCAGCAGCCGCTAGCTTGGTGTGTCAAGGCGGCTGTCAACAGGCAAGCTCGAGCGAGCTCGCCTGTCTAGGCTTGAGCTCGATACAAGCTCGAGCCGAGTCTATAAAATGTTCGACCTTTCAAACAAGCTCGATTTAAGCTTGAGCTTGATTTTTAATTAGAACAATATATATTTTAAAGGATAATCTTTTTAAAAATAATTAATTTATGATCTATCGTAGAAGAGGAAAAAGAATAAAATAAATATATGATGCCAATACAAGGTATATAAATAACATATTTGATCTACAAATTTATTAAATAACAATAAAAAAAATCTAGAAGCTCAAGCTCGGCTCGACAAAGCTCGCGAACTTTAAAATAGGCTTTAGCTCGGTTCGTTAGGAGCTCGAGCCGAGCTCGAATCGAACTTAGGACGAGTCAAGCTCGAGCAGCTCATGAGCCTTGAGCTTTTTTTTTTTTTTTTTTACAGTCCTACGTCAATCCCGTGCCATGATTCCCATGAACAGCGCCAGGTACCCGACGAGCCAAATCACAAGCGCCAGGAACAGGCGCGGCAATGACGACACCGGCTCGGCGTACACGCCAATGATGGCCGTCGCTCCAAGCAGCATGAACTGGAACGCGTAGACCCGCTGCATCGGCGGCCTGCGGCGGGCGCGTTCCGTCCTTGGTCCTGGCGCCTCCTTGGCGACACCGCCGGCGTCGTTCGGAGCCATGGGATTAGGACGGATCAATGCACCACGAGTCCACGACGGCCGACGCCGCCGTGGGATGTGTGAGTAATCTGAGTGAGCGCCGCGAGACGAGGTGTTTTCTTTCCGAATATGGCTTCTGTTCTGGGCACGAACTCTGATTACCTTATTTATAGCTGTCGGCCGGTATGGCAGTTCGGGTGTGTGTGCCCGTACATTTCGTGCGATGGATATTGGCTGCTGTTTGTCTGCATCCTAGCCCTTGGGCACCTGCACCTGCAGCTTCGGCGCAGCTTCCTTCGCGGGATCACGGCGTCCGCCCGTTGCTTTCACGAGCGAACAGGTGACAGTGACCTGACCTGGCTGGCTTCAATCCGAGGTGTCTCCACGTCTGTACATGCACACATGGCGCATGAGCATTCGTCACCTGCTCATGATTTCTCGCGGCAAAAAACATGGGGGTGGCTTCAGTCAAGATGCAGGGTCATTAGAACAGGTCGTGACCGGCTAATCATTCTGAAACTTGTTACCATTAGTCGGTGGCGCCGAAATTTCCCTGTAATCTCGTTCATTTCTCGTTCGCTGGTTTCGGCCTAACAAGACAAACCAGCGGTTGGTGGAGCCCAAGGGTTTGGGAATTCTGCTGTACGTCACTCGAGAACAAATATTCATTGCCGACCCATTTAAACGACTCAAATTTGAGTATTCTTACAGATTAGACAGAAACAAATAAAGATAGTGTTATTTTTTATCTGCCTGTTCCTATTCTAGAACTTTGACCCTTGTATGAATAGCCGTACTTTATTTAGTTTTATCATAAGAAAACAAAATGCTACCAGCCCATCAATTAAAATATATGTTTGGCTTCTTTGGAGCGAAGGAAAAGTGGAGGAATTTTGGAGGACTAAAATTCAACAGAAAAATTTCCCACATGGTCCTTTGGAGAATTGGAGTAAATGAATGGCTTCTCCGAAATCATTTGATTATTTCATATGAATTTTGGAGAAAAACTCTTTGAATTATAGAAATGAAAAAAATGGAGGAATAGGAAAAATACTTGATTCAGATAATAATACAAGTATAAAACATAGAATTGCAAAACATAGAATGATCATTTGATTGGACCATATAGATTTGAGAAAAGATAAAGATACAAATGAAACTTTCCATGAGATTCTACTCATGTTAATTTTCGTCCAAAACTTGCATGGAATGAGACATTCTTCATATAATTCTATAGAAATGAAATCCTTCAAAATTGATATGATTTTCCTTTGAATTAAGGGGGCCTAAGTCCACTTGCTTTTCTATAATGTTACCAGACAACACTTTTTTGCAAAAACCTCGTGGATTTAGTCCCTTTGAGTTCCTCTGAATTTAGGATTATGGCACGGCATCCTAATCCTGAGATTTTCATGCATCTCAGGGTTTACATTACCGGTTGACCACTAAATTTCGAGCCCCATCGGTATCACGGTTTTCGATAAATTTCGATCGGTTATCGATAAATTTCGACTGAATTTTGACCAAATCTACTGTTTAACCTTCGAAATTTCAATCAAAACTTAATTCCGAGTCATGTCGAAACGTCGAAATATCATGGAATTCGACATGTTTTTGTCGAAAATGTGAACCCTATTCTCAAGTTCTCAACCAATCTAGAATCGGCCCAACCCACCTAAAACAATCCCTCTCCGAGTTGGGCCAAAAGTTAGCAAACCCATCTGTAGAGCACGGCGCCCCTTTCTTCCCCAGGGATCTCCCCCTCCATCCGGCGGCCGGGCGACGGTGCGAGAGAGTAGAGAGAGACCCGAGCGAGAGTCCGACACGGGGCCAGCAAGCGCTGGGATAATGGCGACGGCGGAGAAAAAGAGGCCTCGGAGCAGAAGCGGCGGCGGCGGCGGCGGCGGCGTGGAGAAGAGGCCGAGCAGGAAGCAGGTCTTTATATTTCTCTCCTCTCCTCTTGTTGATGGGGCCAGTATCGATAGCTCGTTCGTTTCACCCTACCCGTAGTCGATTACTCATGGCTGATACGATTTGTTTTATATTCCGCGAAACCGAATAGCTGATAAGATTTTGTGTATTTTTTTAGTAGATGGTGTTTGGCACTTGGTTATGTCAGAGTTCAATTAGCGCGCACTTCAAACCCTACAAGTGTGTCGAATTCCTTTATTTTCATAAACTGCGAAAGCTGCAGTGTCAACTTTATTAGACTCATGTGTTCTTCTGTTGAATACGTATGTTGCAACCTCTAGATTTTTGTCAAAAGTTCTTTTTTTAAACTTATTTGGTGGGTGGTTTGTCACTCCTGTCACCGAGGTAGCATTTGAGGAGTAATAGCGGAGATGTATCTAATATCAGGGTCTCATTCAGATAATCTTCTGCCTTTGCCTAGATATTGGGGAGAAAGAAGGCTGTTGAAGAACTTATCAGGAAAGCTGTAGCCGTGAAGGATCATCTAGCGCAATTTCCTGATTTTCATAAGTATCAGAGAAATGGTAACCTACATTGTCTGTTGGTGAACAAAATTCACTACCTTAGGACTAGTAATGTTCCATCATGATGTAGAAACTATTAATATTCCCAGCGAAAGGAAAAAAAACTCCTAATGTCAAATTTACCTCTATAATTCCAACACTAGGCCCTAACAAGTCCTATTCAGTACAATGCAATTTTCTTATATGTGTGTTGTGGGCATTATATCAATCTCACCTTTTTTATGCTTAGGTCTTTTGGTCTACTTGGAGTCTGGACATGGAAATCAACTTCCATTATCAACAAGGAAGTACATCCAAAATCTTCTCAAGGTCACATATATTTCTCTTTCATTTTGCTCTTAGTGCTGCTGGATATTTTGCATATCTTCCTTTTACAGTTTCCCCATAAATATTGAATGTAATGCTAGAAAGCAATAATATAGGTTAACATGGAGGGACAATATGGGCCAGAATGGCCTTCAGAAGAGAAAATTAAGCGCCGGGAAATGGTTGCCCCAGAAGCACGATATATCTTTGTCCGGCAATCTTCAAATGCCATTACCACCCAAAATATTATGAAGCAAGATTCCGGGCTAGAATTTACACATGAAGCATGTAATGAAGATCGCTTGATTGGTTTTGTACACTACAGATTTGTTTTGGAAGAAGATGTTCCTGTTGTTTATGTCTATGAGTTACAGATGGTGCCTTCTGCACAGGGGAAGGGGCTGGGAAAATTTCTAATGGAATTGATTGAACTTATAGCTTGTAAGGTAATGTGACTTGTTTAACAATTACTGATGGTTTACTAAAATGACCTGCTCAATTTTGTGTGTACATATTTCCAGAAATATTATGCGTACTTATATTCTTCTATGATACCTCTTATTCCTTCATCTGTCTTATCATGTACATTTTTTAGCATAAAATTGCTATCTGAAATCTCAGCATGAAGGATCAGCTGATTTTGATGGCGTGTACATGCAGAGCCAAATGGGAGCAGTGATGCTAACTGTTCAGAAAGCTAACAACCTTGCTATGGCTTTCTACAAGAAGTTGAGGTGAAGTGCTAGGCTTGAATATTTCCTCCACAGTTTATTTATGCTAAATTTATACCTTATCGTTGGTTTGTTAATATTGCAGTGACTGCTGGTTGAAACATTTCAATGTAACTCTTATCCTGCAGATATGTAATATCCAGTACTTCGCCATCACGAGTAGATCCACTGGTATTGTTTTGCCTATAAACTATAGTTTTTATTGATTAAGATGTTCATATCGTGATCCTTCCAGTGTCTACAGATTGGGCTTGAAAAAAACTATGAGATTTTGTGCAAGGCATGTGAATCTGAAGCTAAGTCCAAATTAGAGGTATGCAGCATGTTGTTCAGTGTTGCATAAATTTACTGCTACCTTCTTGCAACTTCTAAGATGGTTGAGTCTGATGAATAGAAAAAATATTCGCCAGACAGGCATATTAATCATTCACTAAATTCTTTATGAGTTGGCTGTGTTGATCCTTTTTCTTAGTAACAAATCTTCTTTGTTTAGTATTGGCTATATGCCAATTACTCACTAATGCATAATGTGGTGAATTTGCATTAATATGATGTAAAACAAGTCCTTGATATGTATTTTTGTTAATATTTGCAGGAAGGCAACTGAAAACTCCCTGCGCAATGACCAATCTTGTTAAAATGTGATGTGATGATGGATGTTGTTCTCCACTACAGTTTTGACACCTTACAGGGTACAGCACTACAGCTCATGCTTGAGCGGCCGCATATCGTCAGGACACCATGTTATCGCAATGCATTCAGATGTATTGCACATTTGCACTGTTCTTGTCTGAATGAAGCTGATCCTGCTAATCCATCCTGGGAAACAAACACGATTGGCTGGCCCATATTCTTTCCTTGCAAAACGCAAATGTACATCTGCACGATGGAGAGCATATGAAGGTTGCATGTCGTAGGCTTGAGACGACAGTAATGCAACTTTTTGCAAACTATGGATGGAGATTCACAAATAGACTTGAATAAATGTATACTCCTTATCTTGGTTTGGTCTTTTATTTTGTTGGTGTGTTTAATTTCATTTTGAACTACGATACTTTGTAATAATTGGCTGTAGCTCTGATGAGCAAAGGCTGGAATGTTTCATTCCATTATCTAAAAAAACATCTGCACGTTTCTCAATTTTACTTGGAGGAAACATGCTGTTGCTGTATGGTCGTCAATATTACTTCAGGTAGGATGGCAGATGGCAAATTCGCAGGCACGCATAGATACGACCCCGAGAGCTCAAGCCGCTCAAGGCGCGTTGTCGCGCTTCTTCCGCGGGGCTCTCTTCCCCCTTGTGACGATGATCGCGTCGCCGCTCCAGGTCTCCACCTCCTCCTCCGGCTCCGGCTGCGGCTCCTCCTCTTTTGCACATCCGCGCCTGAGCAGGAGACGCTTGCGCGGCGGCAGGTGGTGCTCGTCCCCGACGCCGGCGTCGGCGCGGTGCTCCGTGCGGCGCAGCCCGCAGCTCGCGCATATGCGCCGCCTCATCTTGATGGGATACTTGCGCTGTTTCTCCGTGAACGCGCCGTCCTCCTCGCCACCGGCGAACGTCGTGCACACAGGGGTCAAAGGAAGCGAGAGCGACCTATTGCTCGTGCTCAACATCGTCCCGCTCCACTGTAGATTAATCTAAGTTCGATGTGGATCGTATTGCCTCTCGATCCATGTTTTTGTAGGTCTAAAAGAGCTCGGGTTTTTCTGGGATGAAGAATGCTTGAGCATGCATGGGGCGGCACAGCACCATGGGAACCGTCTTATGATTGTTGCGTGTGAATCAAAGCATGAGTTTGCCCTGTGTGCGGGCGTTTTGCTTTCGTTTCCTGACGATGAAGACAAACCATATGTCTCGGTTCCTCGTGCGAGAAACGAGAGCCACATCGTTCGGGTTTTCCGGTTGCTGCCCATTTGGTGCCGTGCGTCCGTGCGTGCGCCTTTCGTGTTTTTAACATCTCGCAATGGACAGTGCCAGAACGCAGCAACAGAAAGTAAGCGTGGGACGAGGATCAAGTTAAACCAGACATTAAAACCGTCGTCCGAGCCACCTTTAGATCTTGCTTATACTAGTTTTAAAAGTTGAGCAACGCATGCTTATACTGGTTTTAAAAGTTGAGCAACACATTATATCTAGTAATTCCTCCGTCCCAAAAAAAGCCAACCTAAAAAGGGATGTGACCCTCCTAGTACTACGGATTCGTAGGACTAGGAGGGGTCAGGTTGGCTTTTTTTAGATAGAGGGAGTACCGATTAAGGAAACGATTTAAACCCAACCTCAACCGAAAACCATCATCCGAACCGTCTTGAGATATTGTTTTCACTGATTTTAGGAGTTGAGGGACGCGTCATACAGTCATATCTGATACTCCCTCCGTCCCATAATATAACAACCTAGGACCAGATAAAATATTTCATAGTACAATGAATCTAGACATGCGGCCTGCCCAGATTCGTTGTACTATGAAATGTCACATCCTATACTAGATTGCTATATTATGGGACGGAGGGAGTAGAGGTTTAGGGCCTGTTCATTTTGATGCCATTTTCAACCTTACCAAATTTTGGTAAAGTTGCCAAAAATATGTGTACGTTTAGTTTCCTGCCAAATTTTGGTAACTATATAAGAAATCCTGCCAAAATTTTGGCAAGTTACCAAAATTTTGGCAACTATGCCAAAATTTTGGCAATTTGGTAAAGTATTTTTGGCATCAAAGTGAACAGGCCCTTAGACATGAATTTTAGATTTGGCGACAAATTAAGGGATCTGAAGTGAACTTATGCCCCCAATTATCTGTCGATCTCTCACACTCATGGAGGCCCAATAAACTTATGGGCTGAATTTAGTTAGCCCAACAAGCCAGAGTCCATTATCACCGTGGGCCCGACCTCTTCGTCCCCCTCGGCTCTCTCTCCTCCCCCTCGGCTCGCAACCGCCATGGAGCCATCGCCGGAGATTCCGCCGCCGCCACCCGCCTTCGCCGCCGGCGGAGAAGGCGATCCGCATGCTCCCACCACAGCCGCCGCCCGCTCCTCCTCCTCCTCCTCTCTATTTCCTCTCTTCCCCCTCTCGGCGCCCGAGGAATCCTCCGCCCCCGCGGCGGGGTCCCAGTGGCTCTCAAACCCTAGCTTCTCCTTCGACGCCTCCTCCCTCAACATCCCCGCCACTGCCTCCTCATCCGTACCGCCGCCGCTAAGCGCCTCGTCGGACGAAGAGGAGGCGCCACGGCCCGCACCTGCTAAGTATGACCTGCTGCCCTACTCACCGTCGCCTCCGGCCTCCGACGAGGAGAGGAGGGACAGACGGAAGGATAGGAAGAGGAGGAAGCGGAGGCGGGAGAAGGAGCGGTACAATAGCGCGGAAGCCTCGCGAAAGCCGGGGGTTCGCGCTTGGGCTGGGTCGGAGACGAAGTTGGCTAAGGATTACTACTTCGACGCCAAGGGCGACCAGGATAACTTGGCGTTTGGATCGATATACAGGTCAGGTTTTTGCATATGAAATGTGTAGCAAAGCTGAACTTGCATTGTCATCTGAAGTTAATAATCAGGCATACGCACTGGGTTTGTTCCATTTTTGCGGTATCAGGTTCCATTTGAAAACCATGGGCGTTTATGTTAATTGCGCAATTCCATGAAGGTGTGCTAGACTAGCTGCTAAAGTGGCATGTTAGATGTTGTGCAGGCTTGCTTCTGTTTAGGGCATCATCAGAATTCTCAGTATCAAGTTTGTTTTCCTAGATTCATAGCTACTTGTTTAAACATATTTGTTGTGATCTCTGAGGGAAATAAATAAAAGCCTCTGGGCTAATTGAGTTGCAAGAAACTGTTAGGCAAATTTACTGAACTCGAAGCTCATTAATGTTTAGTCCCCTTTGAAGTTAAGTGGGCTGATTTGATTTCGTCTTGAGAAAAGCGAGATCTGATTTAAATAGAATGAATCAGCTTACATCATGCTTTGGCCAGAATATTAATGCTTAGTGTGATTTTGTGACTTTCCATTTTTTTCCTTGGTTCATGAGTTGATTCTTTATTTTTCTGCTTTCTTCATTTTTGTTTAGTTTGACTGTAGATGCATTTTTCATTTTACTGAAATTTGACACACAAGAAAATTATGCAGAATGGATATTGCACGCTACAAGTCTCAAAACATGCCAGAGGCACGTGGTCTAAAACGGCTTTTGTTTCATAACTTGGGTGTCTCGGTACATATGGGTCATGAGTCAGATTTAGATGGACTGAATAGCAAAGCAAGAGCTGGAGGTCGCTACTACTCGGCGAAATATGCAGTTGTAGAAAGAAATAAGGGTTTCAAACACCTAAAAGTATTGAAAAAGGATAACTCTGCAATTCTCCCAGAAGATTTTATCCCCCTAGGGATACCATCTCTTCCTGAAAATAACACTACTGGGGAACAGGAACTTGAAGAATCTTGGGAAGATGAAATACTTCGGAGGACACGAGAATTCAACAAGATGTCTCGGGAGTTCCCTCACAATGAGAAAATTTGGTTGGACTTTGCCCGATTCCAGGTATTACCAATTTGTCTGATGTTATAATATTTCTTTTGTGAAACAGTGCATAGTGTGATCCACATTGTTGTTACTTTTATGGGATATCATTAGTAGTTACATAGAGAGTTCTAAGATATCAACCTTATTAATATAATGTTTCTTCATTCAACCTTTTCCTTGTCCGCTCTTTATAAATCCACTGAAGAAATTTTCTCTGCTACTTTTTACAGGATAAAGTTGCCAGTACTCAACCTCAGAAAGCAGCCCGTTTGCAAACAACTGAAAGAAAAATTAGTATATTGGAAAAAGCTGTAGAGCTTAATCCAGATAATGAAGAATTATTGCTTTATCTTCTGAAGGCATATGGTGAGAGGGATAGCACCCAGAATCTCCTGGATAAATGGGAGCAGATACTCATGAAACACCCGGATAGTTGTAAGTTGTGGAAACAGTATCTACTTCTGTGTCAAGGGGAATTCTCCAGATTCAAAGTATCTGACCTACGGAAGTCTTACGCTTATGCAGTACAGGCTTTATCTGCAGCTTGTACTAAGCTATGTAGGCAGGTTCAACTTCAGTGTTTCTTTGTATATAGTTCAGCTTATCTGCTCCCCCTCCCCTTTTTCTATCCCTCTCTCGGCATGTATGCACTGTTAGCGAGTTAAAATTTTCTGATGTTTATTCTTTCTTTCTTTTTTTCACAGGATACACAATATGATCGTCTCGAACCTAAGTATTCTTCCTTAATTCATCTTGAACTCGGTCTAGTGGATATATTTGTGAATTTGTGTCGGTTCGAATGGCATACTGGACATCGGGAATTAGCAACTGCACTATTTCAGGCTCAAATAGAATTTAGTTTATTCTCCCCTCCCCTTCATCTGACCACAAGCAGTAAGCAAAGACTCTTTGAGCACTTCTGGAACAATGGTGGTGCTAGAATCGGAGAAGATGGGGCTCTTGGATGGTCCAGATGGTTGGCAAAAGATGAGGAGAGTAGACAAAATATAGATATACAAGAAAATACCCAAGAAACTGAAAGGGGTGGTTGGAGTGGTTGGTTTGATCCTTCTCTAAGGACTAATAGTGAAACAAGCAAAGTGGAACCATCGACATCTGATGGAAATGATGCAGAAAATCCAGATGATGAGGACCCATCTGCACAAGAAGATGTTGAATCTTTGCTGAAAAAGCTTGGGATTGATGGAGATGCTGATTACAATAGTGAAGTTAAAGATCCAAAAACGTGGAATAGATGGTCATTTATGGAGTTATCAAGGGATAATGAACAATGGATGCCTCTTCATGAAAAACTTGGTACGTTATTTTCTCCTTGTGTTTGTAGATTGACAAATCACATTGTTTTTTTAGCTAACCCAGTACTTACACTGGATGCCATTTTCATGGACAGGATCACTTTATTCTGATGATGCTCCAACTGGAGAAGACAATGATCAGCTTTCCAGAGTAATTTTGTTTGAGGATATAACTGAGTTCCTGTTCTCTCTATCTTCTGAAGAGGCTCGCTTTTCTTTGATATGCCAATTCATTGATTTCTATGGTGGAAAAATTTCTAGATGGTAATTTCATCTACTTCTTTTCAGATAAGCTGTTGTCATTCTCTGTACGCAAAGTCTACTAGCACTTGTACAATAAAAATGGCATTTCGACCTCAGTGAAACAGCAAATATTATTGCTCATTTTTTAAAGATGTGAACGTATTCCTTAAGATCATCACTATATGGGCCTTTGAAAGAACATACTAATGATAGCTGTAACTGTATAATGAGGTGTATGATTCAACATGGCAAGTGCATCTTAATTTTAGACTTGTGCTGATCATGTTGATAGTTTTACTTGAATCCAGAAATTAAGGAAAATAGATGGTAATGGTATTACTGCCCAGGAGTTTATAGTCCTTGCAAGCAAACATTTGGACATGTAGGATGAAAACAGAGACGATGGCAGTGAGATGTGAAATGTGTTATATCAGCCTTGTCCTCATTTTATGTGCCTTAAAAATCTGTATTAATTATGAGCAGTTCATTGGGTTGCACTATGAATAAGTTGTTACTTTTCACAATTTGTTTCTTGCCATTTTCATATTGTTGTGTACCAATGAGTTAACTACAGGATATTTTTACATTCCAGGACATCCACCAACAGTTCAAGTTGGATTGATAGGAATTTGAGCCTAGAGATGATTACAGATGACATTCAGGAAGATCTTAGTACGGTGTCTAACCTTATAGACAAGAACCAAACTTCAGTTCATAATAAAATGGTGTCATTGTTAGGAACTATGCATGAATTTTCTCAAAGGCCTGGCACTGCGAAATTTCTGAAAAATGCAATATTGCTTTTCCTTGATGTATTCCCTCGTAATCATATCCTGGAGGAAGCTGTTCTTGTTACCCCCCAAATTCATACAGCTCAAGAAAAATATCTGGCTACTCCAGCCACCGCATCCCGGGCTTTGGCCAAAAATCTATTGAAGAAAGACAGACAGGTATGCCTTGTTCCGTATTTTTGGCATCACTTGGCTGAGTAGCATAACAGGTGAAAACTAGGTCGTTAGTTGTGCAATGAGCATACAGAAACCGGTAGTTTTTTCATGTGTTTTAAGCTAGCTAGTTGTGCATTTTATGTTTTCTTGAATACGTGCATTGTATTTAATCTGCGTCTCTTGGTAGACTGGATGCATCATGCAGTTTGGGAACCAAAATCAAACTGAGTTCTTCAGAGATTGAGACATGTCTCTTCAATTCAATAACATCCATTTCATTTAACTAGCTCAAAGTATTTCAACGTTCATCTTATTTTGGATCTTGCTTTTCCAACAGTTCCATGTGTGCATTTTTTTAATATTTATATACCTGCACTACATGTATCAGTAAATATTCTTAACAGTGATACTTGGAGCACGACGCTCTTTTCTTTTGAAATAAGAAAAAAAAACTGAACCATGTCACCTTTTTCGGGTAGGATCTTTTGCTTTGTGGAATATATGGACGAATTGAGGCTATGAATGGGGACTTTGTCAAAGCAAGGCATATATTCGACTTGGCACTATCAACTTCTCAAGGAGCTTCAGAGGTAAAACCATAAAGTAAATGAATCAGTATGTTCAGATCCAAAAATACAATCAATGTTGTCATTATGTCTTTGTAATGTGCCAATGCTGCTAGAAATATAGATCAGTATGTCAAATGGGTCTCACTCACTACCTCCCTTCCAAATTCCAATATAGATGTAGTTCTGTATATTGCAATGGTTCTCTGACACACTGCTAGCAATTATACCCTTCTTTTACATTATACATTGATAAGCATTATAAAATGTACTGCCTGGAATTAGTTACTGTGAGAAACAATAACATGATATCTATTAGTGCTTAAGGTTTGAAAAGTTTTTTTTGAAAGTGTTGAAAGTTTGACTGCGCACCTCCTATGGCAAGTAGGGAACCTCTATTTTGGAATAGAGGTACTCACTCGTTTTCACAATATTATTTTCAATTCCACCATGGACACAAACCAATGGTCACCAACTTAGATCACATGCTATAACTACTCAACCTATTCGCAATATTATGTTAGGGGTAGCTACTATTATAGAGTGGACATTGTGACACTTGGTTTTCTCAATAGACAATCATTTTGATGTGGCCTGTTGCAAGAAAATTGGCTAACATATTTTTGCCATTCAGGTTTCTCACATTGGTCTAGCAGCAATCTCGTGGTTGAGTTAGAATAGGTTTCAAGCAACTTTATGAAAGCATATACTACGTAGTTAATTGTCTTGAGCAGTTTATGTTATTGGAAAGGAAACACCACATCGGTACTTGGTCAGCTATGTCAAACATAGTTTTATTGATTTCAGGGCTCTATTCCCAGCACAACAATGTGCCTTATATAGTCTTCTATTCTAGCACATTTATTTATGCTCGCTTCTGCTTTCGTTGGGCAGGATCTCAGGAAGAAGGTTCCTATTCTTTATTTTTGGTATGCTGAGATGGAGCTAGCAATATATGCTTCAAGAAACAATTCTGACTCTGTGGATCGTGCAATCCACGTTCTGTCCTGCTTAGGGGACAAGGCGAAGTATGCTTCTTTTGATGGGTCTATATCACGACCTCAGGTGTTAAAGGCTCGTCAAGGATTTAAAGAGCAGATTAGAAGCTTGCGATCTTCATTTGCAAGTGATGGTATGAAAGAAGAGTCTGTTGCTCTAATCTGCTCAGCATCTTTGTTTGAGAGTATGACATCTGGTTTTGCTTCTGGTCTTGAAGTTATAGAAGAGACCTTTTATATGACACCTTCAGGTATTTCATCCTTCAGCACCTTTTTCTTGATAATCTGAATGATAATTACTCATGCCTTTACTTTTAGCTCATGTGTATGTTTATTTATCTATAAGCGGGGCGAGTTGACTTTTGTACAAATTGTAGCCATTGTTTGTCCTCCCATACTTTTTTCTCAAGTACTAGTGATAGTCTAATAGATACTGATCATAAAAGCAACCACATGCTAAGCCATTACATTTTCTGTTCCTTTAATTGTTATATATTGGCTATCTACCATCTGCTAACTATTGAATTATAACCTGTCTTTAGGGCTCTGTTAGACGTATTTTTTAGTTTGACATTTGAAATTGTTTTCATGTATCTTGCTAAACTCTTAGATATTTTACAATCTTCAATAAACATACCTATTTTCTGACTGGAAGTGACAAGCTCCTTTCTAGTACTCCCAAGGCTGCTCAGGTGTCAACTACAGCTTTTGATACCAAGATTTTGCATGAAGTATCAAGCTTATTTGGATCACAAGTCTCCACCCATAGTCCAAATTAACTAGCATTTCACTGTAGATCTTACATTTATTTTATTTCTGCAGTGCTTGATAGTTCATGATTTTATTTATCCTTTTCATTTACTTTGCTTTTCTATGTCTGTAAATATGTATTATTATTCTCATCTGTCAAATTCGCAATCTATTAAGCATACTCTTATCATGATTTTTCAGAGAACAACCATAGCTTAGAATTCGAAGAATTGTGGATGCACTACATCAAGCAGCTTCAGAAAAATCTTAATCAGTTGAGTCTCTCAAGGGTTTGGCCAAAAATATCGCAAGGAATACAAACATATCCGTACAACCCAAAATCATATGCAGCCATGTTAACTCTAGGTTGCCTTTACAGTGTTTCCAATAATCTACGTCTCACACTCGACAAATTTAATCAAAGGTGAGTTCTCTTCCCTACAAAATCCATAACACACTGCTTTTATTACATGCTATGGTGTTCTTCTCTGACAAAAATATGGAATATATTGTGTAATAAGGTAGAAATGTAATTGATCCTGCTAATGATTCTCTTGGTCTCCTTTAGCAATACATTTTTTTGTGATGCTTTTCACAGTATATAGAGATACATTTGTAACCTGCGAACTTCCTGACACAGTAAACAGTATATATCAAGTATTTTTTTTTCCTTTAAGTAGCCAGTTTGGGTGCATGCACTCTTCTAAAAATATCTTCTGAAGTGCGCATGGTATTGCATTGCATATTTACTGCTCTTTGTCTTTTGATTTTATCAGGGATCCTTCCATAATTGGCTTGCTCTTTGCTTTGTCCTTTGAATTGTGCAAAGCTGGATCAGACAATAGAATACACAATCTGTTTGAGAGAGCTCTGACTGATGATAAGTTACAGAAATCCGTTCTGTTGTGGCGCTGTTATCTAGCTTATGAGGCAGAGATAGCTTGCAATGCTTCTGCAGCTCGGCGTGTGTTCTTCAGAGCTATACATGCCTGTCCATGGTATGGTACTGAAATATGTTGTCGCAATTTGATGTTTCTCTGGTTATACTTACATGATTGCTTATTCTATCATCCATCTATATCCAGCTATTTTTATGTAGCCAATTTGGAACAAAGATCATTTATATGTTTTTTGTTACATTTGTATCTTATACTTACACTATATTACTAGAGTACAGAAGAGATCTCATCAGAGGATAATGGGCACCTGAACTTTGTTGTGCTATTGCCCTTACAGATAGCTAAATGTACAATAGAGTATAAAGTTTAAATAACCACACTTTTTTGGAAGAAAGTGCTTTGACAGTAAATTGGTGTTCTTGCAAATATGGTTGCTCTATGAACTTGTTACTTGGAACTCGGAACTTGTAGCTTCTGCCTTTTCTTTTTTATTTTTTTATCAAAAAGTTCCATCTTTAATTGTGGGTTTGGGAAACACAAGTTCTATTTTCATGTTATTTTAGCTGCTATTGTTTTCTAATATTAAACATTTAAACTGTAACTTGAGTGATGGCCAAACTAATGACAATTGGAACTTGGCACTCATAACAAGACATCCCACTTTGCAGGTCTAAACGATTATGGCTTGATGGATTTGAAAAACTGAGTTCAATTTTGACACTGAAAGAGTTGTCAGATCTCCAAGAAGTAATGCGTGACAAGGAATTGCACATTCGAACTGACATTTATGAGATACTCCTGCAAGATGAAACAGATACGTGATGCAGCTATCCCTGTTTTTGTCCATAATTCGAGATCTCCATATTATCTCAAGGTTCCATCTTGCAACTGAAGATCGGTTGCATGTGATCTTTTAACTCATAATTGTTGGACTCTCAAGATCGGTTGCTCAGGAACCTTTATGTCGCATGGAATGTGATCTGGACACGATGTACATCCAAAGCATCTTTAGATTGGCAATCTCGTGACATATTAATGTGATTTATTTTCTGTTCCTGGAGACATATGTTCGGCTTGTGTCTGGTCACTCCAATCCTTGTATTTGGTTGGCTCATGCTTCTTGGAAGGGCACAACTGCAGGAAGAGGTCAATATGAAGTAATGATGGAGGAAAGCATAGAGCGGCAGCATAAAGTTGAAATTGTCTTGCCAAAATGGAACATCAAAAGCTGGCAGAGAATCGAGTTGATAAATAAAAAATTACTGCGTCTTCAGGCAAGTGATGCTGTATTTTACAGCAAATATGTTTTTTTAGTTTCTTCGTCATTTTCTTACTGCACTTGCTCATGGTACTCCTTGTGAAAGCAGGTTGGGGGTATTTATGCAGTACCCTAGCGTCAATCAAAAGCCTGGAGTATGTCTTCATTTATCATCTTTCTGCGATTAAACGATGCTTGTCCTTTTTAAAACGGAAAGAAGGAAAGCTTAGTTCTGAACATAATATACTAATATTGTGGTATATATGTGTACAATGCTTGAAGTGACACATTTTTTTTTGAAAAAAAAAAGAAACTACCGTAAAAATATGACTCGGTAATTACAAAAGAGGGTTGCTAGATGAGGGGTGCATACTACCTCTTGTTAGCTGAGTCTGCTGCAGCAAATGATGTTAGTAGGTATAGTTGTATACCATGTTCTCGTAGGATACTGTTTACTCTTTATTTGTTATGCTCCGCTGCTGTGATGCCTGCGTCCTATACTCCTAGCCAAACGCCCACGCGATACGGCGATGGTGGAGAGAGGCCGATAGGCTATAGCGCTTTCGAGTATTCTTGTATTCGACGGTCCATTTGCAGTTACACGTAGCAGGTTTATTGATTGTTATGTGCTGATACTCGCTAGTTCATTGCCGATCTTCCTCATCAGAATCCGGGATAAGGGACTTCCTACGCAGGCACCTAAAGGCTGTGCCAATATACATCTTGGTTTATGCTTGGCATGATAAGAGGGTTGAATTGAATACAGTACTGAGGCCCCGACAAGGTAACGATACAATGCAGTCTTCCATATGTACCATACCTTGATGCATCCTGGTGAATTTGAACCCTCCTCACCCACAGGATGTGGCTATGTATTTACAAGGGTGGGTAAACTAACTCCCCCATTATTATCCTAACTTCCTGACCAAGACATTTGTCCGTTCAGTTCTCCATATAATTGGTTCCTTCACTTCACCCTCTCGTTCTGATGATGGTTATGGTGCCCTTTCCTGCCGTCCTGATCCTTGTGAGGCTAACAACTGCTTTGCCGGACAGGCCTAGTCCATGAGCGTACACAGCAGGGCTGCACGCGAACTGGCCGACTGGGTGCCGGACCGGCCTGGCTGGCCGCTTCAGGATCCTCTGGTTGACGTCGTTCAGCGTCGCCGCGCCGCCGCCTTCTAACCCCAGCGGCTTGACAACTGCAAACGGGTACAGCACGCCCGTGTCCCTCTTCTCCTTCCCTGTGAATGAATGACCAAGAAATTTCTTTTACACTTCTATAAACATCAACAAATGCAATTCTTATTATTAAGGGGGGTTGAACAGTAACAACATGACTATTTACTTCGTCCGTCCCAAAATACTTGTCATTCTAGATAGTTTAGCAGGGACTAAGATTTCAGAAAAAAGACTATAATACCCCACATTAAATGGTATATATGGTTAGGAGTGGAGTAGTAGTTTAGGGGTAGAAAAGGAAGAAATTTGAATATAGAGGAATGGATGTGACAACTAGTACTTTCTAGTGATAAATATATTGGAACAAATTTTGAATCCTAGAAAGACAACTATTATGGGACAGATGTAGCATTTTACTTAAAAACCCTCTTCATTTATAGAAGCTATACTATGAAGGAGTAAATAACAACTGAGGGGGGCAATCAATAGATGCGGCCTGCCATGCATCCATGCATGCCTATGAAACTGTTTAACAAGGCAAATACGTTCGAAACCACATCTGCAAGACTGCAAGCACTGCTGCTCCCCGCCCCAATCCCTGCCACCGCCTCAGTTGCCACACATGCGCGGCGAGTGATAATTGCCCACCGGTCACCCACCCACCCCCACCCCACCTCACCTCACCTGTCAGCGACGAGGAGCGACGAGGCGACGACGCGGAGGCGGCACGAGAGGACGGCGATGGCTGCTGCTGCTGTTTGCCCACGATGACGTGCTCCTCGCAGGAGTAATTGCCGCGGCGCCCTGGCCGCCCTGCCGCTGCCGCTGCGTGGCCCGCGCCTGCTGCACTAGTTGCCTTTTGCAGCTGCAGTTGCTGCGCAGCGCCTTGCCCGGTGGTGGTGCGAGAGGTGGCGGGCGAGGAGTTGTGGTTGTGGAGGATGGGATCAGCTGCCTCTCCTCCTCCTCCTCCCTGCGCCGCTGGCACCTGCACTGCTGATGTTGCTGCTGCTGCTGCTGCGCTGATCGGGCCCCTCTGCTCCTGCTCCCAACCCGATGCGTCGTCCTCATCTCCTGCCCAATAAACAGGGTCCTAAGTTGTTTTAATGCAACTACTTTGACACTAAGATCAGATGTACTAAGTTTGCTGATAATTGACTGTGATGAGAAGCCGACAGCTATTTTGTCTCTAGCTGTTGTTGCTTAGCCTGAAGAAATTCAGCCATGCAGTGACGAGGAAGAACTCGATCGGAGATATGATTAATCTGGTGTTTAGATGTGGTAGTAAAAGCTGTCCGATTGAAAAGGACGTGTCGATATTCATAATCACCTGAGACAAAACTGCCGCTCTCCGGGATCATGATATTCAATTCATGCATGAGACCCCCCTCGCCGCCGCTGCTGCTGGAATCCCAGAAGCTCTGTGTGTGGCAAGAGCAAGCAACAAAACAACAGCAGCTACGAGTTAGCTAGAGCAAAAGGCGAGGAAGAAGACAATCAGGCACAGCTTGCTTTCTGCGAGGAGACACGACGACGCTGCACTGCTCTTTTGTACGTAAGTATATGTTACTGCATATATGCGACATTGCGACAATGGAGTTGTGCCTTTCCACTTTGCTGTGATCTCTGTTATGTTCTTAGCACTTTCGTTCTACTCGAGATTAATTACTACTGCTACTTGGAAGTTTTACAGGCAACAAAAAAGTTTCAGTGATCTCATGATCTTTCATCTTTTTTAAAAAAGCTCCAGTAATAAGTAACCACTACTAAAGAATGAATATATTGTCTAGGCGCCGAGCTAGCTACCCACTATAGCTACCTGAAAACGCAACAAGTTCTTGCATCAATGAATCTACGATGAACCATGCATCATATATCTTCGATGACGGGTACATTGTCCATGAATGTGTTGATGGCATTTACCTGAAGAAGGCAGTGCAGGTCCTCGTTCGCCGCCGCCGCCGCTGGCCGTCGAGGCGGCGCCGCCGCCTCCGCCATCCTCTGCCGCTTATTGCAACGGTCGCTCCAGTGCGCGACGGCGTCTTGCAGGTAGCCACTGGACGCCTCCGACGACGACGACTCCGGCGACTCCAAACCTACTACACACACCAACGAACCTAAGCTCAACGACACTATCTCACTAGTTCACTACACAAACATGCCCTAGCTAGCTAGCTTGCAAGCAAAAGAGGAAAGCAAGCGTATCTGCGTATGCATGAGTCTACGTATATACTGTGTGTGAGGTGGTAGCTAGTAGCAGTGGGTGTGTCTTACGCATGGCCGGAAGAAAGGCGCCATGAATGCCATCTTGGGCGGCGTCTCCTCCTCCTCCTCCAAGTGTGTGCAGCTGTAGCTGATCCCAATCCCAATCCAGCTGAGGAGGAGGAGGAGGAGGCAGCACGAAGTGGTCGTCGACGTAGTAGGAGTGGTAGTTGTCTAGGGCCATGGCCTTACTCTCCTTTGCCCTGTTACGTCCTTTCGTGTGTGTTTATGTGTGTGAGAGAGCTAGCTATTATGGCTGTGCAGCTGAATGCTGATGAGGCTGGGGCTTAAATAGGAGGCAACTTTCGTGGCAACAAAAGCTGTGTCGAATTGGGCGGATGGGAATGGACGGAATTGATCAATAGGAGGAGCCAGGCAGCCAGCAACCGGTCAATGGGAAAAGAACGAATAAACAAGAGCAAAAGAGCAAAGGGGAAAAAGTTGCGGTTGCTGGATGGATAGCTCCATGCATCTAGGCCTTTCTCGTGATTCGTTATGTTTGATTGCCCTCTCCCCCTTTCTATCATCATCGGAGAATGTTGCCAGCAGTGCATTCAATACATTGTGAAATTGATCAACAGTGTCCATCCATATACTCGCCGAGATACAAAAGATCTAAAATAGATAGATATGGATAGTACATTAGTACTTAAAAGCAATGTAGACAGTTTGTTAATAATGTGGTATAGTTTAGTTTGTGTGACATGTATACAACCTTAGAACAAAAAATATTAAACGTACTATTTTTTTTAATTAAACTCTTACTAATATTGATGTGCTATGTCATATATCTAGATTTCTTGTAACTGTCATCTAGTTAATTCAAAAGATTTAGATCAATGTTTATAAGAGCTCTGTTAAAAAAAGTTTAAGTACGTGTAACATTGCTCTTTTAGGGCTAATTGGCTAAAACATGAATTTTTACGGAATTTTCACGTGACTTAACTCAATTATCCTACAAAAATCTGGTAAAATCATTTAATCCAAAAGGAGGAGGCTTTCTATATGTTATATTCATGATCATAAGCTATTTCTATGTATTCACAAAACATTTCACGCCAATGCCATCACATGCAATATTTGACATTTGCAGTAGAGGAATTAATGCCATCAAGTGTGACCGAGGGGTGGTAAAGTAAAATTGTTGGGTGGGGAGAGTAAAAAGGAGTTGCAAGTACTACGTGACTGTTGATGTTTTTGTTCGTATCGCTGCTGCACCAGACGGGGACAGCACCGGTAGCTTTAGCATTCTTTCATGAAAATCTTTGGACGAGGCCAAGAAAATGTGTTTGCTATATTTCTCCTTTTTACTGTACCATAAGTTTTGAGCTTCTGCCATTACTGCCATCCTTGGACAACTGCGAGCTTATCATAGCTCTGTGTACTTGTTACAGAAACTCCTTTGCCCAACCCAAGTGTGGGGCTTCACATATCACCAATAATGACCAAAAGGGTCCACACAACAATATCACTATTTAAGATACTACCAGTACTTAAAAGCTACTAGTAGTATTGGATGATGTGAAACATCGAATTTCAGAGGATGATATGAAATGTCAATAATTAATATGAAATTTACCATGCATGCATGGTTGGTAAACCTAAAGAAACAGACAGAGAAAATATATATGTGGTGTGATCATTGACAGATTAATCTGCTGGTGTGGTTTGTTCATCAATCATCTATATGCACAACGGCACAAGGAAATGACCAATTAAAGAATGTAACTAATCTGAAGTTCTGAACCAGCTAATGAAGCAAAGAAACGTACATATTGATCAATAAAAGGCATGGTCCAAAAGGGAGATCAATCAGGCCTGGAACAGAAATGAGTTCCCCAAAGGGGGTCAAGAAAGGGTACGAGTACTTAGCCCTGACATGAATCCATAAGCTGATTCGACTTTTGGTGTAAACCCATGAGTTAATTTTACAGAGAAACTATCGACTTGGAAGTGGAAGTGGCCTCTTTTGCAGGTGCGTGCTCTGCTACTTCTCTTCTTTACTTGCTCTCTCACTCACTCTTTCTGCTAATGGTCAATGCAAAAGCAAATGAATTAATGCTAGCTTCCAACAGTTTTACTACTCCATCATGCTCACTCACCAATGGTTAAGCCATTCCTCTGAAGAAGAAAATAAAAATGGTTAAGCCAATTGGACCATATCTACTTGCCTGTGTGCTTACTGCAACTACGGCTAGCTCGACTGCCGTGTCTCTACCCAAAGCTGCACGTCCATCTTGAGAAAAACGTAGCCTTGTTTTTTTTTCTCTGTACTTTTGCTAGGGTGTGTTTAGTTCACGTTAAAATTGAAAGTTTGATTGAAATTGAAATGATGTGTGTAGGAAAGTTTGTATGTGATGGAAAAGTTGAAAGTTTGAAGAAAAAGTTTGAAACTAAACAAGGCCCTATTATAGTTTGATTTGCATATTTAACCGTGGCCTTTACCTACTCGGTTAATGATTGGGTGACAAACATTCATGCTTGCAGGGCTTGGAGCTAGTAGAGTGCATGCATGCCGTACGTCCTACTATCGTGTAGAAGGGACTCAGTAGCGCGGCTAGGAAAGATTTTTATTGCGCCCTGTGCTAATTGCTTGATGATCTATGTAGTGCATTCTGCGGCTCTGCCTAAACGTGTTAATTTGCTTGGTTGGTGACGCATTTACCATGTCTAATTTGATAGCTACAATCAGAAAAAGATTACCACTATAGTTTATTTGGTGGTCACTAGTCACAAATCCCGACTCAAAAGGATGCCGGCGAAATTGAAGCAACAATGATACTGTACTACGTACACTGAACAAGTTAATTAAGAATTGCCGTAGTACTACAAGAGTAGGAACAGATGATATGGCCTAGGACACCAATAGATTAGAGCTGCTAATTTTTTTTTACCGCTTTGCCGAGTTGTCTGTTGTAGGGTAGAATCTTGTACTAAGATGTAATTATTGGCGACTATCACCTCCCAAAGCTTTTCTGTCCTGGATCGGAAACTGTACGCGCGAGACTTTGTGATTATGCAGCGCAAGGCGCCTGTTGCTAGCTGCGACTGCGAGAGTGGCAAAACTGGCGAAGCATGTGCGAGACACCCACACCAAATCAGCCGAAAGAAACAGTGCGCCTAACGACCTAAGCGGAGCCTCTGCCTCTAGTTTTCACCATCTCCACTGACCAGTGCTATCAGGTACAGTACTAGGTAATTTAGACACATGGATTATCCTACTAGCTACTGATCACTAGTCTTGTCCACTGTGGTACAATGATGAACTTGCTTGGTGTCTTGTGACAGCTATTTCAATTCCTCTCTCCTCTTCGATCTAGGAGTATATGCATGTTGTTCAGAGCTGCGGCTAATCCGATCCTCCACTAAAATTTACATCCCTTCGAGTAGTAGTTATATACTGCCTTGATTCGAAGAGATGGAACGAATTGAAGGTTTGAACCTCATTGGCATGTTTCACATTCCCCGCTGATATAAAACAATGTAATCGGTAAGGACATTGTTCTGTCCACAGCCATAGTTTATCACGTCGAATGTCGACATGTCAATGTTTGTTAGGCAAGCATTTAGATTGATACAGTTGTGGCAAATCACTTAATTATTTGAGCTAAACTTCACCTGTGATCAACGATTTATTGGTCCCAGTTTATATAATTTGCCACACCTTTAACAAATTAGCTATAAAACTACTTAAAACACAATTTAAAATGCCATAATCCGGTAAATACTTTGTTTCAAATGGCCCTAGGCCTTTGTTCTTTTATTTTTCAGATTATTGAAAATGAATTATCTGCCCCATACTTTAAAAGATATTTTTTTCTTAAAAAACACTTTTTCCTACTATATTGTTTAGACCATTTTGTTTTAAATTATCTGTTAAGTTTATTTTTATATATTAATTATTTTTATAATGAAGGCCATGTTTAGTTCGTGTGCCAAAATTTTTTTGAAGTACACGGATACACATTTAAAGTATTAACTATAGACTAATAACAAAACAAATTACAGATTCCACCTGTAAACTGCGAGACGAATTTATTAAGCCTAATTAATCCATCATTAGTAAATATTTACTGCAGCATCACATTGTCAAATCATGACGTAATTAGGCTCAAAAGATTCGTCTCGCAATTTACCTGCAAACTGTGTAATTGGTTTTTTCATCCATATTTAATGCTTCATGTATGTGTCTAAATATTTAATGGGACGGAAAAATTGAAAGTTTAAAGGAACTAAACACTGTCTAAATAGATAATCCTCTAAATCTAACATGACCCTAACTTATTTATATGAAAATCGCTAGCTATGGAGTATTAGAGCCGAGCATGTGCAGTGGCAAAATTGAATGGTGGGCAAACACATGTACTAAGACTGTCAGCTAGTCAGTTATTGCATGGCAACCCCAAGTCAACTGTTGCGAATCTTGAACCATCTGCAAGGATTTAAAACGGCCACCTACCCATAACCAAAGCAGCTCGTGATGATTTGTTGCTGTTCTTCACCATTGATATCCTTTACAAACACAACTGGCCCAGCAGCTCAGCTATATATGCAGCCTCCACATTCCACAGTTGCACACATCCGAGCGAGGACACCGGCTGGCGATCGAGCATATATATGCATGCACTTGATTCTTTACAACGACTCGCGTACGTACCAGTACCATCCTTTTCATTACTGAATTTTGCTCAACAATCGGCGCCCGTTTTGGTTACGTCTCAGGATCTGTTTCCAGCTGCACATGGGTAAACTGCTTCAATCTGCGGCGCCACATTATTGAAGCCATTGGTGAATTGGTGAGGTGAAATGCGCGAAATTTCACGAGCGGCCGGTCGATCTCTTGGTGAGGTGAAAGCGGTGAAAATCTGAAATCTCGCGTCAGATTTGTTCACTGGAGCTGGTGGTGGTGACAACCTACTGCAAACGTCTGAACCTGCAATTTAACGTTTATGACGGCCCTGCCTGAGTGGCTGACACGACGATGAAAAATGAATTTAATCATGCATGCATGGCTTGCATGTACGTACGTACTACGTACGTAGCAAATCTGTATTAACATGCATGCATTGATGGAAGCCAATAAAGGATCGATCGATAAGAAAACATCGAGGGCCAGGGATGCTACGTGAAGGCCCGACCGTTGTTTGTTGTAGCGATTAATTCGAACTTAGAAGTGTGGACATGGGGCCGAGACAAGATCAGAAGCCGAGTTAATGATTACACAAAGGCTTTGAATTACATTTTTGCTATTTTACTTACAATGGATTTTTAGGTTT